GTGTCAACCCTTGAAGCAACAAGATTTCCCCTCTCTATATATTATATAGTAGAGCCTACAGAACATATGTGACGCTCTCTGTTGTGATGGTACAGTTCCCATAGCTGTAGTAGGTAGCACTTGCACCATCCTGATGGTATAGGGATCGCAAACTCACGGTGTCAACCCTTGAAGCAACAAGATTTCCCATATCTATATATTATATAGTAGAGCATACAGAACATATGTGACGCTCTCTGTTGTGATGGTACAGTTCCCGTAGCTGTAGTAGGTAGCACTTGCACCATCTTGATGGTATAGGGATCGCAAACTCACGGTGTCAACCCTTGAAGCAACAAGATTTCCCCTCTCTATATATTATATAGTAGAGCCTACAGAACATATGTGGCGCTCTCTGTTGTGATGGTACAGTTCCCATAGCTGTAGTAGGTAGCACTTGCACCATCCTGATGGTATAGGGATCGCAAACTCACGGTGTCAACCCTTGAAGCAACAAGATTTCCCATATCTATATATTATATAGTAGAGCATACAGAACATATGTGACGCTCTCTGTTGTGATGGTACAGTTCCCGTAGCTGTAGTAGGTAGCACTTAATTGCACCATCTTGATGGTATAGGGATCGCAAACTCACGGTGTCAACCCTTGAAGCAACAAGATTTCCCCTCTCTATATATTATATAGTAGAGCCTACAGAACATATGTGACGCTCTCTGTTGTGATGGTACAGTTCCCGTAGCTGTAGTAGGTAGCACTTGCACCATCCTGATGGTATAGGGATCACAAACTCACGGTGTCAACCCTTGAAGCAACAAGATTTCCCATACCTATATATATATAGTAGAGCATACACAACATATGTGACACTCTCTGTATTGATGGTACAGTTCCCATAGCTGTAGTAGGTAGCACTTGCACCATCATGATGGTATACGGAACTCACGGTATCAACCCTTGAGGCAGCAACATATATGGTCCATATCAAGTAGCTACGAAACCTGCTTTCTGTAGCTAGAGCAACAGAACATGTGGCAAAAAGGAATTAGTGTCCCATTCTTTGAGAGAATATTTTCTAACCGTGCACTGCACCCATCCCCTAGTTGATGAACCACGATTGCATATATTTAGGTTTCTCACTGATATCGGCCTTATACTGTGATTTTATTTTCCAGCCAGAACTTATGACCTTATATCTTTTACACATATCTATGCACGCATCTTCATAGTTTTATCACAGCTACAGCTTTTTCCTCTCTTTAAAGGGATACTACAACGAAATTTCGGCGCTTATATTATGGTCTACAGTGCAACCCACTTATAACGATAATGAGAAAACCCAAAATTTCAATCGTTATAACCGATTATCGTTGTATCTGAACTAGAAACTGATAATTTCCCGTCTAGAAACTCTAGGAACTGATCGTTATAAGCGGTACATCGTTAGATGTGGTATCGTTGTAAGTGGGTTAATTGCACTGTATATGTGTTCAAAGGAGCAGTATCACATCGAACACACTAATATGTTGTTAAAAAAGTCACGAAAAGGAATTTCAAAACAAATTAAATGATTAGCAAAGAGCACCTGGTGGATGTCGCTAACGCCTCGTTTGTAATGCCCGTCTAGGAACCTTGACAGCTAGTGACGGTGAGTGTCTCGCCTCCGGCCACGGCGAGAGAAGAGGAGAAGGAGGAACTCTCGTCTTCCCGAGAATACCTTTTGTGTGTTCCAGAAGTAGCTATTGTCCCCCTACAAGATTATAAAAGATTAACCCGTCACTCAAAATTCGTACAAAAGCAGCCGCTTCGGTGGCTGGAACGACTAGGCCATCTGCTCGACATCAGCCTCGCCATAGCTTTGCTCGTCCTGAGACGACCTACGTCACGATTGCGTCGAATGTCACGTGTTCTAAGCTGGACCTTCTCCGAGCGCTTGCTAGAGTGGGCCGTTTATAACAAAAAATGCAGCCACCAAACTCAAAATACAAACGTGCGATTGTCATTTACGGATATTGTGGATCATATTCAACCTATTTTTGAACATGATGGATATATTTCAAATTTCGTTGAAGTATCCCTTTAACACTGCAATAGTTTAAGCTCTCGGCGGATTATAGCTTAGAAATCAATATCAATCATAAACATATTTTGTTTCATTTTAAGTTTTACCCGCCTTATTTTTTTAAAGTTCCTCATATCAAATGCAAAACCCATCAACCAATCTTGGCAAAATCGTAACTGCCTGAGCCTGAAATATATACATTTTTCGTTCTGATCCACAATTTTGCCGCAAATTGTCAGTACCGAAGACGCGAGATGCAGCATAGAGGCTTGATATTTGTGCACTTGGGCACACTGACAAGCACATCCTCGAGATCATCGGAGGAAATTGTTAGTCAGTAGTAAAGTAGTGATTTGAGCTAGTTGGTACTTCGACATGATAAAACAGTGCACAGAACACTGAGGAAGAGAAAATAACAGGTAGAACGAAATAGCACTAGCTGTCCTTTTCTTTTCCTCTGTGTTCTGTGCGCTGTTTTATCATATGGTCAGGTTTACAACTCCACATTCATCTCGCTGAAAGAAGTTCTTGTTGTGCTTGATTTTGTACAGATTTTCTTGACATCAGCCATCTACTTTGCACAGCATGCCTTTGTGCTGCCCATATATTTTTAAAGTGTTGAGATTTTAACCCCAACCAAACGCCTTTTCTTCAAAGGACATTTTGAACTCATTGCCTCTAAAGATCGTCCAAAACATGTCGCACACCTGTTGTACGTCCTAAGAGAATGCGGCCGCACAGCATTTCAAAGACGTACAACAGGTGCTTACGACGACGTAAGCTATAGTGTATCTATAGTGTATCCAGGACAGGGACTCTATAGGCTCCTTGCACATGACGTCATTTCCGATACCCTCCAGAGAAGAGGGGGAGAAGGAGCTCCCCTCTTATCAGGACCCTCCCAAACCCTCCTTTGTGCCTTCCGGATTTGCACAGGCGTCGCTATTCTCCTCCCAGAAGATTATAGAAGATTAACCCGTCACTCAAAATTCTTACAAAAGCAGCTTCCCTCTCCTCCTTTTACTTGGTGTGCAAATGTGTGCGATGTGACGTCAATGCAAGGAGCCTATAAAGGAACTTTGTCAATTGATATCCCGGCAAGATGGCTGGCACCTGTGACCTGTCTCCCGTTGGCTGGGAGCGCCTTAGTGCTGATAGCTTCTTTTTTTTTTTTTTTTTCTTGTTTTTGGGTGTTGGTTGGCGTGGGCTGCTGATCGGATGTGGGTGTTGTGTCGGTGTTAGGCTGGGACTCGTGTCCACCCGGCGTGATGATGCGGCACTCGTGTCCGGTCTGCGCTTGTGCTGGCCGATATTCGTTGGCGGGGAGCTGTCGGTGCTGGGCGTTCTTGTCTGGCGGATTTTACCCTCGAAATCTGTGCAACCCTCCCTTCCCCTTTTTGATATATATACATGTATATCTGTGTGTATGTATGTGTATATATGTGTATGTACATCTGTATCTACCATTCGCCTCCAGGTGGGTGGCAAGGGCACACACTGTGCATGGGCTCCCTGCCTTTCCTTGTCGCCTGCACGCCTGGTGTGAACTTCCTCGAGTGCAATAAAGAACTATTGAACTATTGAACTATTGATTTTCTTTTCTTTTTTTTTCTTGGGGGGGGGGGGGGGGGGTGTGGAGGGGGGAAGGGCCGGGGTCAAAATGCATATACATTTCATCGTTTCGGTTGGATTGGTTGGTTGGATTTCGCTGAAGCCTCATAAGTCTCCCCCTGACTAAGCTAGGGGTGACCACCCGTCCTGCGACTCGCGGGACTGTCCCGCAATGAGCGCTCGTGTCCCGCGTCCCGCGAAATGTCCCGCATTTTAAATTGTCGTAACATCCGGTACGCAAATTATGGCGCTTCCGTACAACGGGCCACGGGGACGCGCGGAGGTCGCTGATAAACGTGTGGATCTCGATGGTATGCCATTTTATATCCAGGCACTGCGGGAAGTGATGTCATTTTTGCAGGAGACTGACACGCATACGCCGCGTTGTGCCTCTCCCGTTGATGGCCAAATATTGCAAGCGAAAGTTGCTCGCCAAAAGTGGGAAAATAAACTATTGTAATTAGTTGCAAATCATACTGTGTCGTGCGAAAGAGTTGCTGTGGAATGCTTTTTTTTTTTTGTCAAGACGGCCACACAAGGCAAAAAAAACCTGCAACTCACAAATCTTGTGCAGGAGCATGCTAGTATAAGGGTAAGTATCGACAGGAAATAGTAGGCCGAAGAAGACTTACTGTTTCTTACTTCGGAGGTTTTCATTCATTGGGGCTGTTGCAGTCGATATTTATGTTTTCAACTTAGACACCTTTAATAAAATATTTAAAAATGCAATTAAACAAGGAATATATCATTCTGAGTGAAAATTATTTTACCTTAATTGTCGCAACACAATTTGCAGGTGTATAATATGCTTTCGGACAGCACAATTAGATTTCGGGCTGTGCGTGTTGGTGAATTACCTTTAATAATTTTTTCTTGAGGCGTGAAAATACCGTCCTCCTTTTACACTCCACTCCCCCCCCCCCCCCCCCACCCCCGGTCAGGGTGTCCCGCATGTCGCCGGCAGGAAGGTGGTGAACAACGGCGGTGCGGAGACGAGAGCAGACACCTGGCGAAACCAAAACCGAAACTACCCGAAAGTGTCCTGCTCCCAGAGTGCACCTGAACCGCTAGTGGCGCTTGCACAGGCTGTGTTCACCCAAATGGATCCGAGTCACTCCGGCGGATCGTATCACGTGACAGCACAGATTGAAAAACGCTGGACGCGGGTAGGTTTTAGAACGCCAAGGGTGCAAAACCCTTACCCTGGAGTAAGATCGAGTAAATTTTGGAACACGGCCACAGAGACGTGATCACTGGACGTGATTCACTGCTCTGACGTGTTGCCCATTGGTGCATCTATCACATCAGCATCTGTCTTTATCTGCTTTATCTGTCTAGCACAACTCGCAAGCGAAAACCACGAGGTGCGCCGTATGTAAGTTCTCTCTACATTTTGCTTACATTTGCCTTACTTTTCCGCAAAGTCAGGCTGTGCAGCTTCGTTTTTCATCAAAATTTGGCGTTAAAACCGTCGAAGTCGTCCGTCGGCATGGAAGCCGACGTCGTCCAGGGCCAATTCGACGACGCCGACAGCGCGGACGAAGCCGCCGAGCGCCTCAGATCCCTCACTTGCCAAGCTCGCCTCGGCGGAGCCGAGCAGAAGACGAGCAAGAGCAGCGACGACTTGGACGAAGAAGGCACCAACGACGACGATGACGACGACATGTTCGACGATTGGGACGACGACGAGTGCCGGTCGCTGCAGCACCCGGGCGGCAGTCACCCAAACGCCCAGGGCTCGAGCCTGTCCAAGTACCAGAACCAGTCGAAGCTGCTCTCCGGCAGGTACGGCAGCAAGATTAACCTGGAGCCGTACGGCGGGCCCCGCGTGCCGAGTGGCGCTGCCAACGTGCTGCACGAGGCGAACCGCAGGCAAGACTCGGACCGGGTCCGGCTGCGGGACAAGGGCGAGCGCGCCACGGCCGAACAGGTGATCACACTGCATCTATTCACCCGGTAGTGCCGCCCAGAAGTGTACGGGGTTTCGCCCGTGCGTCCGTACCTTTGACATCATACGCTAAAACAGCTAGGACGAAAACGAAGGGAGAACTGGACAGGACGCGGCCTAACTTTCAACTGAATGGTTTATTTCGATGACACAATTTTAAAAGCAGGCACACTTGGCAAAACACAAAGATATGGTCTTTGTTTTCTGTCAAGTGCCATGTCTTTGTGTCCTGCCAATTGTGCCTGCTTTTATATTTTTAAAATTGTGTCAGAAATAAACCATTCACTGGAAAGTTACGCTGCGTCCTGTCCAGTTCTCCCTTTGTTTTCGTCCTTGTTGTTTTGGTGTATTACACTACGATGCAAAACCAACTAGCCATCCTTAACTCTTGATAGCACTGCACGCAGCTTGTGCGATAGTGTTTTCGAAGAACTGTTGTATTCCGCCGTGGTAGCGTGTGCACAAAGGACACACAAAAATCGCATTGGGAGTGATCACTGCCGCACATTCGAAGGTCGGAATACAGTGCGAAGTTCGGTGACGGCTTTCGCGCAAACGAGAAAGAGTAGTTTCACGGCGTCATACACAAATATAAAACACCGCTCACAGTCAGTTGTTACAATTGGCTTGCTTTTCTCCATGCTGAAATGCTTCCAACCACATTTGGTGACTGCATGGATCTCTCGACCCCTCTGCCTTTTTGCCTTTATTGTGGATGGAAAATAGAAGCAGCAAAAACATGTCCTGACCGTAAAAAGGCAAGACGTCGCATCCGGTCGCTTTCTGATTGACTCAAGCGCGCACGTCGAGGGAAATAATTGGGTCCAGAGACATCGTCGTCCTCAGCGTGCAACTTTTTTCTGTACAAAAATAAGCAAAAACGCTCGTCCGACAACACTTTTTTTTCCAGTGTGAATGTACACTTAAAAGGGTGGGAGGAATCATGTTTGTCTTTTCACCCTTAGGCTAGGTGGCGCAAACTACCGCCCATTACAAAGGGTGAAGGCAATTCCGTCCGTCCGTCCAGTGTCGCACAATGAATCGCTCCCGAACGCACTTGCTGAGTGCCAATGGATGCCGCCGCTACATATGTTGTATCTAGTAAGAGTACCGACCTCAATCCGAAACTAGCACCTCATGTTTGACATAACAGGTGTGCGGTCGCTGCAACATTTATATTTGCGATGACGAAACCACTTGATTGGTTTAATTGATATTTACGAACGACACATGATTCAGCCGTAAGCTTGCAACTGAACAATTGCACAAAGTAACGAAAGGCGAGCAATCTTTCAGTTCCCATAACTGTTTACAGTGGAGAAAACAGCGTTGATCTAATCAAACAGCAGCTTGCTCAGTTTTAAAGGGGCCCTGCAATGACTTTTTTACTACTTTTTAATTTGCACCGAACCTGAGCGCACTGAAAGTAGTAACTTAATGAAACTTTTCTTTTCTCGAATTTCGCTTTATTTTAAAAGTTGTATGCAAATCAAAATTACAAAAACAAGCAAAAAATAACCTCCTTCATGACGTCCTTGGTTGCTGGAGTGGCCGTGAACTAGAGGAGGGCTAGTGAGCTCAGTGAGCGCTCACGGCTGCCGCACTCCGTGTCAACGGCTCGAGAGGGCGCCACTAGAGCATGTTCTGGCTAGGCTGTATGAAGCGGGCAGCCAGGGCGGCTCGCATTGCATTTGCTGCGCGATCAAACACTAATTTGCATGACTCTTCATTGGCCACAAATGACAGGAAACACGGGGTAAAGATCAGTTTAGAATGGGAGCCACTTCGCGCCGCCATACCGCGAAACGGCCAAACAGCCAGACAAAGCTGCTCGCCGAAGGCCTTCGGAATGCTCGTAGCCGGTCGGATCCTCCAGTCCCTACGACCGCAGCGCGGCCGCGTACATCCGGGACCTTTCTGTGTCAGCGCCTGATCCCACTACTCCTTTCTAGTATGCGCCGCCTTTTACACTGCTTGGTGGCGGGTATGTTGACGGGTCACTTCTTTTTTCCGTGCTTTATAAACTGCATTCGTTTCTCCTCTGATCTAAAACACTGAACAAAATCTACTTATATAAATAATTGAAACGGTTCGCGCCACTCATCTTTTGTATTTCGACCCAAAAGAAGCTTTTAGCGGCTCTGACCAGTAGTAAGCCCAGGACCAAAAGACGTCACATATCGCATGCTTTCGGTACCGCGGGTCACCCCCGTCGGTGGAGGAGGTTTCCGCGTCGTCCGGTTAAAATACGACGCACTGATATTTAGTTACTCTCTCCGTGCCCGCTGGCTTGCCCAAACCCCAAGAGACGTGGAAACCGCAAAAAAGGTAGACGCTTAAATATGATTGCAGGGCCCCTTGAAGTGTGCACCACTGAATGGATAGAGTTTCAGACTGGTCCATTGGAATCTCCAGCACGTTTCGTGGCACCTTTGATTTTGATCTTTTGCCGAATACATCCGGGTCAGCCTTTGTTCCTAAGGAGCAGAGAGATTAAGAGCTTTTTCAAAGAAAGAACTAGGGTGGGGTGTAAAATAACTGGTGTAGGTAAATGTTAAATGTGGTGATTTTATCCAGACACGGTTAAAATTGCCATGTTTAGCTTTCTTGGCTGCTAATAAGACTCTTCACAGGGTCTGCTGGGCGAGCTTTATCGACAAAGGTCCTCTCGTGAGCCCACAATTGGCCGCGTTTTGGCAACGACCTTGTCCGGAACCTTTCTTTACTCGTTTGTAGATTTTGGCGACTGTTACGGCAACAAAACTATCAAAATTATGGGTTGTCGATTGCTTCCTTCATGAAATAACACTCAATTCAAGCTCGTGCTCAATCCTGTCTCTCGCGAAATGCAATTTCTAGCAAGAAATCCACTTTTGTTTTTTTGGTTCCTCTTTGCGCGAACGGCAGCTCGTAGCAGACAAAGCCCGGTCGTCTGCTGTTCCACCTCGCCTTGGTGACGCATGAGGGCACTGCATTTTTGCGCAAGCTCGATTTTCTCAGTACAGCGAGTGCAGGCATGCGTGGAGTACTGGAACAAACTCGGAGTGCATCTACTCGCGGAGTGCCGGCCGAAACAAACCCTCTCCACGCCGCGAGTGGGCATGCGTGGACTGTTTTGTGCATTATGCCGCGTAGTCTCTCTTCCCCCATTTTTAGAGGATGTTACAGAGTGGTTATACCGTAATCATGTTTGGTTTCATACCGCAATCATCTTTAGATGTTTTTTTATTTTCTTTTCCAATTTTTTTGTCTTTTATATACAAGGGTGCCAACTTGATTGCTGACTAACCCTTTATTACCGAGGGTTTCAACAGTTTTCTTTGAAAAATTTGGGACCCCCGTCCAAATAAGTGTAATTAACTGACATCTTGTTTACAAATAAAAACACATTTTGACTTGAATTCCGTGGCCCCTTGTAAAGGTCAATTTTGACAACTGTGTCGAGATACCCAAGCCTGACAGAGTATCGCAATATTTTCGGTACATTGGAAAAATATTTCTCTGCTGAAATACTAATAGCTGTCTCTAATGTGTCTCGATACGCAGATACTTGAAAGTATCTCCGAAAGACTAGAGTGATTTAGTAGATGGTTCCAATGACCCTGTTAACGATGCTTGACACTTCGCCTTTGTGCCTGCGTACTGGGGGGGGTATCGGAGCGATCTGCCAAAGCCCTTTACTATCGCGATACTGCCCAGCCCCGCTTGAAAGCCATGTAGAGCGCCAGTTCGGTCGAGCTTGCATGCTCTCTTGACTTTTCAGCTTGTGACGCCATCGAATCAAAGTGCTCAGTGTAGAATGACTAGATTAACGGTTGTCACAGGATCATTATCAAAGCTTGTTCCTTGTTTTGCAAAGAGACAAACATGCACCTGCTGAACTGTTCATTTGCAAACCTTTAAATTGTGTTTAGACCGAGCTCTCACGCTGCCGAGATATGCCACAGCTCATGCTTTTTGCAAACGTGAGGTGGTCCAGAAAATGACTGATGTCAAGCGGATGATACAAGCTAGCGAAGTCAAATCAGCACTGAGAGCTAAAGTCCCTGGTTAAAATTCATGCTCTACGTTTCTTACAAGTACCGATAAGCACTGTAGTGCAAACGTTCTGGACTTGCGATGAATGAGTGCTGCATCGCCAATAGACGACTTGCATAAACCCCTGCATGCAACACTGCGCGCATTGCACTCTGTGATCTAGTTGGCCAGGGAGGAGACTGGTATGGTTTCGGTTTCGATCGGTATGTCGACAAGAGATCATACACAGCGTATCTCATGTTTTCTGGTCCTGAAAGCGTCATTTTTGGTCTCTACACTAACCTAAATGGCCAGACCTCGAAGCTTTAGCACAAGCCAGTGACGTATAACTTGTCTTAACAGATGCTTGTTGTACTTTTGTACCCGAGCCTTTCTGTTAGCGTTTCGAGTTATGTGAATGAGCTGGGAATCTCGACGCTGCGAAGCTCGGGGATCTTGCTTGTGTGCGAGTCAACAAGCTGTAACAATTAATAAGTATGCACACATCGAGCTCGCACCTTTACGTTAGTGTTGCTGCTCAGGAAGTTTGTTTGTTTTGTGCGTCCCTAGACAAAATATAACTTTTCAAATACTGTTTTCCTTAATACGACTGAGTATGCGAGGTAAAACTCGGAGGCGCCATTGAAAAGCTCGAATCGAATACACTTCTTATTTCCTATCTGTACTGACCCGCAGCACTGCATGAAGCGAAGTCCTTACCCGCTTGCATACCACTAATATTCAACATTGCATGTGCGCATAAAGTTATCCTGCAATCCTATAGGCACATTTAACCATTCAAACCATTTTAAGAAAGCAAAAGTCGAGCACCTGTGTGAAGAGTGTCGCACTGTTCGCCGGATGGGCGTAATTGAGCCCCTATGCGGTGCGCCCAACCAACGAAATTATTCAAAGCGCATTTGATGGTTGCTAATGGCCATAATATTTGTTATGTGTTTGCTTTCTTCCTGACTGAGTATGCCGAGATAATTTCAGACACACCGTTCAGACACAGATCTTCGGCATCAGTAAGAGCTCGTCCAAAAAGGCTTAGCAAGGAAGGAGTAGGGGACGCTTGTTAGGGCCTCCGTCGTAGCTAGCCAATCTCAGCGTTTGCGAAAACTTAATCTCCTTTCAGCATAAAATTTGAGTGGGATATATATGATGACAGGAGGAAGACATCATATAGTAACTTTTGTGCAGTGGTGAGGTCGAATTTATTGCGTTTCCTTAAAAGTTCATGCGTCAATGCTGGGCTCAACTTTGATACTCCTGTGAGGATGCGGCTTGCTTTTCGCCCAATGAAGTAACAAGAAGCGAATGTTTGGCAAACAAAATACATATAAGGCTCAAGGTGACCGAATTTCAGTTGTAGTTCACTGGTACTAGTCGGGATTATTTAAATTGAGCTGAAAGATGCACTCGTCAAGTGAGGTGACTAAGCCACGTCTTACTACGTTTGCATGCACACGCACAATATCCGCGGGTTTGGGAACCAATGATAGCGCCTCGGTCTTTGTTTTTTATCGCTCGAGATGAGTGTCTTGTGCATTCGTAAAAGGTCAGATAATCGAAAACATAAGCAGCGCATTCGGTCACGGCGTGATGGCATGAAATGAAGCTGCTCAATCGAAACTGAAACTGAGTGGCCAACTAGTTCCCAGAGTGCACTGCGTGGTATTTCGCTGCGATGGGGCGCTTTGATTTTGCAAGAAGTCTATTGCTTTCAAGGACCTCTCGTGGAATGGACAGTTTGCATTGGCTCATTTGATGCTGCTTGCAAAACAAACACAATCTCATTAAGGGTCTTTACTGAGAGCGTGACTATTCGGTTTCGGCTCTGGGGGCTCGCGGAGCGCTATGTCACTTGGCACATCCTTATCGTTGGATTGACTGGCATAGCTTACAGCATTGGCCGCGATCTATTTAAAAGTGAAAGCACGGCGCGCGGCGGTGAAACATTGCACGCTGCCATGGCATCACTACGTACGTCGTGCATCTGTTGCCTCTCATAGGTTCCATTCTTCGTGCAGCATGTCCGACAGAAATCACACACACCATTGTCTGGGTGACGGGGAAATCTCACTGTTGGGCCAGAGCGATCTCGGCGACAAATGCTTGCCGCCGTCCGTGCGAGCTCGAGAAAAAACAAGAAATGCTCCGGCTTGAAAGGGTATTCCGGCAATTCTTTGAGCTAACGCAACTTTGTTTTCAGAATCGCTATTCATTACTCTTTCTGGTATGCTATTTAGTATAGCAAAATTCAGAATAGTTATTGTGAAATCAGCAATTCAAAATGATGCCGAAACCAACATTCAGATATGCCCGCGCTTTTCAGTGCCTCGACATCGGAGGAAGGCAGGCTTGCAGGTTGGGCAGGCAGTTTAGAAATTAATTATGCCGAGCATTTGTTTTGTCTTGCTGCGCGGGTGCTGGAGCCAGCTTCCAAAGCATTCATTTGACAGAATGAAACTGCCTACCCTTGACGTCACTTTTTCATTGTGCCAGTAGAGACTTTAACTTCAAAAGACACGGTGAGGAACAAAATTGTAAATTCAATAACTTTGGCAAGATTCAAAATTTCAGGTAAATCGGGGACTATGAAGAAAATGTTGGAGTACCCCTTTAAGATGGTGATTCTGGTGTCGCCATTTTGTTCAGCTGATTGAAAATAAATCTAGCGAAGCTGTTCTGTCGAATTTATTTACACAAATGTGCAAATACTTCGATATTTAGGCTTCTCGTCGTGGTCTTAAAATTGAGATTGGAGAAACCCATAGTATGTCCAACCATACATTTTGTCACTTCTTTCTTCTAAATATTGTTAATCCTAAATTGCCTAAAACTGCACTCCAAGCAGTCAAAGCATTCATAATTCTCTATTTTATTAAAATCTCCAGTGCACTCGGGGAAAAATCTAAAGGCCATTTGTCTTTTGTTCTGCATCAACTTTTTGACCGGTTTTTAATTTGCACCGAATCTGAGTGCACTGAATTTAGTAACGTAGTGAAAGTTTTCTCAAAATTCGCTTTATCTTACACAAGTTATAGGCAAATTAAATTTGCATAAAGAAGCAACAAATAACCTTCTCCATGACGTCCCTGGTCCTGGCTTATTATGTGGCCAATGGTTGAAGCGAAGCGACTGGCCAATCGGCTGCGGCTTATGTTGATGGTCTCTTCCCCCACAGCCACATGCTAAGCCATGGCTCGTTGCTTGCTTCAGCCGTCCACCTAGCTTGCCGGCACGAATTTTCCCGGTCTGTCGAAGTTGGAGCTCCGAATCCTCGATAGAAGTGTGGAGCTGGGAGTAGTATCGTACGACGACACTCCTCGTAACTGTCCGGAGCACGCTAGTGAAGCCTCTCGGCAGCAACTCGACGACGCTTAAGTTCCGGGCAAGTTCTGGGTGGTCTCCTGTGGTGCGAGACCACAGGAGACAAATTCATACTTTCGCTTCTTGCAAAAATTTGTCGCCGGCATCATGCGTCGTCTGCTAGGATCCAGGGGGGTGCCTGCACCTGCCTGTGCCGCCTATTTCACTGCTTGGTGGCGGGTATGTCGGCGGGTCGTCGCGCATTTCCATTACGGTTTCCACCACATATACTTTGTATTTCCACAAAAAAAAAAGAAGAAGCTTTTAGCGGCTCTGGCCAGTCACAAGGCAGGAGCTGACCGGGACCAACGTCGCCACAAATTCGTCATAAGCCACTCGCGTTCAGCACCACAAGGAGTCCCCATTGGAGGAGGAGGTTTCTGCGTCGTCCGGTTAAAATATAACGCACTGATATTTAGTGACTCCCCGTGCCAGCTGGGTTGCCCGAACCATAAGAGATGTAGAAACAGCAAAAAAGGTAGACGCTCAAATAGGATTGCAGGGCCAGGGTGTCTACCAACCGGGAATTCTCAGGGGTTTTGAGTAGTCTGGGAAAACTCAGAAAATTTGTGCTTCTATCAAAGAAAATTAGCCCCGGGCCGACGCCGTCGCTGATGGTGCCGTCTGAAGCGCTTCGTACGGCTTGCAAGTGACCTCTTCGACCGGTTCAATGGCCGCCGCTGCGCCCCCCCTTCCCCCCTGTACCCTCCCCTTGTGTTCTCGCGTGTTTCCCAGATTGTAGCCTCGTCAAAGGTGGCAGAAAACATTGCACGCCGAAAGAGCCGATGCATTGAGGAATCAACAGAAAATGTGCCGCCGACGCTTTGAAGCAGCTTGAGCTAAAAAAAACACAACAAAGTCTTGGCTGATGCCGAGATGGAGGTGTTCCTCTTTCAAACTGAAATAAACTCTAGAGCAGTGAAATACTGGGGAATTGTGCGTGAGCTGAGAACATGGCAGTACATTTTTACCTTTTTTTTTAAATATTTTATTTGCTGTGAATTTTACTAACCACTCCGTTCTGTTTTCTTTTTGAATCCTATAAAAGTTACTCGTTACCATTCAGACTGTATTATGTTTTTTTTTTACTTTATAACATGCCGTTTAGAGAGTGACAGCATCTGGCAACATGGTGTCAGCCCATCTTGACCTTGTTCTGTGTTACTCGGGGAATTTTGCAAAAGGACTCGGGGGAATTCGAAAATGCCAACTTGGTAGACACCCTAAGGGCCCTTTTACATTGTACCATAAGGTAGGGTCATAGCCTTCATGGCTGGACAATTGGGAAGAGAGTGTGAGATCACGCACTGCCACGATTGGCCAGCGCCACGCGGTACTGGTGACAATTGCGGCGATCAGCTATTTGGCCGACTTTCTCACCGAGTGTCCAACCTATACCCTATTTACACGGACACACTTAACTGCAGTTGCGTGTAACCACAGTTACCACGCTATACATACCCACACAACTTTCTGTGGCCGTGCGGTCGAGGCTGCACACGCCCCGGGTAGAAATGGAGGGAGGGATTGTACACCCAGTTTCCGGATCTTTGGCCCCACGCACCGCTCACACACGGGGCCGGGTGCAGGTGCTGGACCGCAACACCCGCATCATCCTGTTCAAGCTGCTCAACAAGGGCGTGGTGGGGCAGATCAACGGCTGCGTGAGCACGGGCAAGGAGGCCAACGTGTACCACGCGACGGCGGCTGATGGCACGGACCGGGCCATCAAGGTCTACAAGACCTCCATCCTCGTCTTCAAGGACAGAGATCGCTACGTCACGGGTGAGGCACACCTTGTGGCTTCCTTGACACCTCCTGTACTCGTGCCTTCTGTGGCAATCAAAGCCACGGGATTGAGTGTTGATCAAACTCTTCACTTCCGAAATGCTGCAGAAAGTTGAGTGTAGGCAACAAGGGGTATATGCGGGCAGGCGGCGAAGTGGTAGCTGCTGCTGCTTGCAGAGTACTGGTGGTTGCAGCGGGTGGTGACGTACACTCCCGGAAAGTGTTAGCTGTTGCAACGGACGTTGATAGTTGCTCCCAGAAGGTGCCTTGTGCACTGCAGTCTCGGTTGACACCGATGGCACTGCTGTGTATCTGTTGATCTTGGTGCCGATGCCAGACCGCAAGACCGCATACTGTCTGCACTCGTATGGTGTAGGAGGTTTTGCCTCATCGGGGTTCCCCGGACCCATCTTGGCACTTCCTTAATTGTGAACCCAAACAGTCATTTTTTGTGAAGGTGCGTAAAGTGGAGATGTGCTGACAGCTCTGAATGCATTGCTCGTGTTGCACCTGTTTTTTCACTGTTGTCTAACTTTGAACGAAGGCGTCCACCAAACATCAAATTGGCAGGAGTCTCTTTCGTCCTAGCATGAGGTGTGTTCCCGGAGGAGGAGTGTTGAAGCGTTACCTGTATGTTTTCCCAGTTTGCCCCCTTCTTTAGTGCTTTCTTAAGGGAGTGCACCAAACATTCTGCCAGCCCAGCTCCCGGACGAAGGCTTTGAATTTGGCAGATGTCAGCTGAGGTCCGTTGTCGGAGACAATGGTATTAGGATAACCAAACCTAGAAACAAGCAATGGTGTCGGCACTAGTTGTGTGTTTCATGATGGATACTTCTGGCCATTTAGAATGAGCATCAACAACGACAAGAAACATGCGTTGTCGAAAAAGTCCAGTAAAATCAATGTGCACACAATTCCAAGGTGCTGTAAAGAAGGAGTTGCTCGGGTCATTTTGTTGTTCCTGACATGACTTGCACCTCTTTATTTATTTTTATTTACAATATACTATGGGCCATTTGCAGGCCCAAGCGGGGTGGGACAGTATAGAGTGAACTGTGGACGATTTACAACCATTAACGTTCATATCGCGAGGCAATAAACCCCAATGTAAACTAGCACAGTGACAGAAGCGATCAACAAATAGCCGGCGCCATAACCACTGTGGAACCAGAATAATGATAAAATAGGGCACCATGGGATGACTCGTGACAATTTTTAAAGCACTAACAAAAACCAAAGAAGTATATGCTATAAACAATGGCTTGTAAGGATTTGTGCGAGCGCAACACATTTATAAGTGTAAAGGACAGGCGTCGGCGAATTGTACAACTGTGGCGCATTGAACGTCCCCACTGTAATGTTGGAGGTGTAGAAAAGGGGAAGGATTCCCTTAGATTGGAACAACTACGTACTGGCGTTTATTCGTTAGTTGGTAGCCATCTTGGAGAGTGTTACATTTGCCAGACCAAGCCAGATTTATGGCTAGATTCCACTACAGTAGACACTACATTTATCCCCCTGAGAAAATATTTTCGACAAGACTGCAACACTAAAAGTATGCTGAAAATGTCCGACTGGTAGAAGAGTTCTCTTTAACACCATTTATCCCCTGAGAAAATAAGACTCAAAGTTCTAGTTCGCTCTGATACATTCCGTTAACTTGCAATGTTTCTTTGAAAAAAAAATTCCTTATCAACATTTTGTTAGAAAAGTTTTCTACACTGCAAAGTCCAAAAGATGACGAGGAGCACGACAAACTCTTGTCGGATAACGGCGCCCAGCACTGTTTGGTTGGGTCACTGGCGGTGCAGATGGGGCCAGAGATGAGCGATGGTCTAAAGAGATGCGATTGCCGGGGTTGGATGAAGGGGGCCCTGGGTCTTTGATGTCCAGTTCTTCTCGTCGACGCAAGATCTATGAACCTCAATGACTGTGTAGGGCTTGGGGTCGCAGAACGGAGTGAACTTGTTACGCTGCTCCTGTCTGCAGATTACAAGTTTACCGGGAACAAACTTGTGATGCTGAGTGTGTCGCCATGCATCAGCAAATTTTTTGTTGTGTCTTTTCCTGGATTCGTCGTTTTTTTGTGCCTTGATGTGAGTAGGGCTACTGTTGTCTGGGTCGGGGATTACCGGAAGTAGGTTGCACACTGTGCGCTTGAAGAGGAGCTCAAACGGTGAAGTTCCTGTAGAGCCATGTGGGGTGGAGCGGTAGGCTAGCAAGAAGGATTGTAGCTCGTCCGTCCAGTCCTTGCCTCCAATTCTGCTTGTCAAGACTAGCTTGTTGAGCGTTTTCATAAATCTCTCTACTTCACCGTTTGCCTCGGGCCAAAGTGGCGTGACACTGTAGTGTTTGAATCCGAATTCTTCAGCGAATCTTGAGAAGTCTTCGCTGTGAAATGGAGGACCATTGTCAGTCTTTTGCACTGTTGGAATGCTGAACTGGGGAAAAATGACACATAGTTTGCTGATGACATCTGGTGCGGCAAGTGTTTGCAGAATGTTTACTACTGGGTATTTTGAGTGGTCGTCGATGAGGACCATTGCATACTTGCCATCAGAAAATGGTCCAGCGAAGTCTAGAGACAAACCAAGTCCAAGGACACTCCGGTAGTTTGGACGCAGGCAGTGGATCGCGGTGGTGTTCAGGTGTTGCCGCCTGGCAGGCAATGCAGCTCTTCACAATACTGTCCACGAGCTTGTCTACCCCAGGGAACCAGACTTTGCTTTGCAGCAGTTGTTTTATTGACAATTCCTTGGTGCCCCTTGCGTGCAAGGTGGACTGCCTTATGCTGTAGGTTGGTAGGTATCACAATCCACGTCCCTTGCAGGATCAGTCCTTCTCTGGACACGCTGAGTTCTCTCATTACTCGGGAGGATGGACGGAGGAGTTTATCCTTCCAGTCATTTTTGTCGAGTTGCGACAGTTGCAAGTCTTTGGTCACCTTGGTCAGCGGGGGGTCTGCCTTGGTTTCCTTTAAGACATTTTCCAAGGTCGTGGCACATGGTAAGCTGTGCTGTATCATGCAGGCCACATAGTCTTCTGACATCTTTACAAGGGTGCGAAGCCTGCCTTTCTTTTCAGGTGGGGTCTGTGGTGGATGTCGAGACAAGTAATCGCTGGGATTAGTTGACCCCTTGGTGTGCCCGATGTCGAAGCTGTATGGCTGAAGTTGAAGTGCCAGACGTTCGATCCTCGCTGACGGAGAAGAACGTGGGTTTGACAGGATGTTGACGAGCGGTTTGTGGTCAGTGAGCACTCGATAGTTGGTGCCGAACAAGTAGATCTGGAAGTGCTCGATGCCCCAGACCACAGCCAACGTCTCTCGTTCTATCTGAGAGTACTGCGTTTCCACAGCCGTCAAGGCTCGGCTTTCGTAGGCAACTACCCTAGTTCCAGCTGCAGAGGACTGGGCGAGAATTGCACCAAGACCATGTGGTGCAGCATCAACGATTAGATCTGTGCTCTTCTAGGGGTCGAAATAGGCTAGAGTAGTAGAGTTCGAGAGCATGCCTTTGAGCTCGTCGAATGCTCTTTGTTCAACGCTGGTCCAAGTCCATAAAGTTCCTTTGATGGTTAGCTGGTGCAACGGTTGAGTCAGGTTTGCGAGGTTGGGTAGGAAGCGTCCGCAGTACTTAAACATCCCTAGGAGACTCCGGACTTCATTGGAGTTCTGGAGAGCTGTCACCTTCATCAGATCTGGTTGTACTCCAGCACTCAAGAAGACGTGTCCAAAAAAAGTGAGCCGCTCTTGAAAGAAGCTACACTTCTTGGAAGCTACACCCTTGCTCAGACGCTTTAACGTTGCCTCAAGGGCTTTGTCGTGGTCTTCCTTGGTCGTGCCGTAAACCAGGATATCATCACCAACGTTAAGCACGTTGGGAATGCTGCCGAGGACTTGTCGTATGGTGTCTTAAAATACTTCTGCTGCTGAGTTGATACCAAAATTCAGACGTTTGTACCTGAAGAGTCCGGCGTGTGTCGAGAAAGTTTTTATTGGCCGGGAGTCTTCGTGCAACTCAGGCTGGTGGTACCCTTCCTTGAGGTCGAGTTTGGAGAACACCGTTGCTTCGTTGAGTGCTGAGAGGATGTCGTCAACTGTTGGCGTGACGTGCCGCTCGCGGCAGATCGCCTTGTTGGCGCATCGCATGTCTACGCACATCTGCAAAGCTTCCTGGTCGTGTGGCTTGGGCACTAGAACAACTGGAGACACCCACGGTGTTGGCCCTTCGGTTTTCTCAATGATGTAGAGTGCTAGCAGTCTAGTCAGTTCTGCCTCTAGTGGTTTCCCCATAACAAAAGGGATGCAACGGTGTGGTTGTGCGACTGGTGGCACACTGTCATTCACATGCAGGCGCACCTGTTGGTCTCGAAGGCATCCAACTCCCTTGAAAAGCGGGGGGTACTGTTGCTGAATATTGTTTGCCGTCAAGATGTCTTCGACATTGTAGGTGATGTGGAGTAAACCCAGACGTGAGGCTGCAGAAAAACTCAGAAGGGGTGGATGGTCACCGTTGATAACGAAGATTTCGTCTGTGCCTTCCTGAGCTTTGTATTTCATGGTCACAGACAGTTTGCCAAGCACTAGCAGTGGGGACGTTGCACTGTATGCCAAAAGTTTTGCACCTGTTTGCTCCAAGCTGTGGCGGAACCCGAGTTTCGTCAGGTCGCTTGATCCCACGGTTGACGCAGTAGCTCCTGTATCAAGGGTGAATTCTACTGGCGTGCCGTTGACCTCCACGATCACTCGCAGTGACCTCGAGATGTCACGTCAAGTGTCAGTTGCGAATGTGTACTCGTCGCTGTCCGAGCCAGGATTCTTGCGTATAGCACGGACGGCGACTGGAGCCGACCGACATACTTTGGAGAAGTGGCCAACCTTCTGGCATGACCTGCAGGACTTGCCTCTGGCTGGGCAGCTGGATCGACCACCGTCGTGCGGCCACGATCCTCCACAGTTGTAGCATGTAGCATCCGGGTGCTGACGAGGTGAATTA